TTTCGAATGAGGTAAAAGGTATATCTATAATTAGGGGCTAAAGGGTCGCAGCAGTCCATTCCATTATTCAAAATATCCATTTCATTATTCAAAATTGGCTATTTCTTAATTTTCACGCGTATTTTGGCATTTAGGTCCTCCGTAACCCCTCTAATGGTCATTGCGGCACATATCGTTTATACTCAGTTTATTCCTCTATCAATAAACTTTAATTTGGTGTATAAATTTTTCCTTGATTAGGGGCTGACGGGTTGCAGCAGTCCATTCCATTATTCAAAATAAGCTATTTCTTAATGTTCACGCGTATTTCGATATTTAGGTCCTTCGTTACTCCTCTAATATGCGTTGCGGAACATATTGACTATATACCTTTTGTTCCTCTCTTAATAAGCTTTCGAATGAGGTAAAAGGTATATCTATAATTAGGGGCTAAAGGGTCGCAGCAGTCCATTCCATTATTCAAAATATCCATTTCATTATTCAAAATTGGCTATTTCTTAATTTTCACGCGTATTTTGGCATTTAGGTCCTCCGTAACCCCTCTAATGGTCATTGCGGCACATATCGTTTATACTCAGTTTATTCCTCTATCAATAAACTTTAATTTGGTGTATAAATTTTTCCTTGATTAGGGGCTGACGGGTTGCAGCAGTCCATTCCATTATTCAAAATAAGCTATTTCTTAATGTTCACGCGTATTTCGATATTTAGGTCCTTCGTTACTCCTCTAATATGCGTTGCGGAACATATTGACTATATACCTTTTGTTCCTCTCTTAATAAGCTTTCGAATGAGGTAAAAGGTATATCTATAATTAGGGGCTAAAGGGTCGCAGCAGTCCATTCCATTATTCAAAATATCCATTTCATTATTCAAAATTGGCTATTTCTTAATTTTCACGCGTATTTTGGCATTTAGGTCCTCCGTAACCCCTCTAATGGTCATTGCGGCACATATCGTTTATACTCAGTTTATTCCTCTATCAATAAACTTTAATTTGGTGTATAAATTTTTCCTTGATTAGGGGCTGACGGGTTGCAGCAGTCCATTCCATTATTCAAAATAAGCTATTTCTTAATGTTCACGCGTATTTCGATATTTAGGTCCTTCGTTACTCCTCTAATATGCGTTGCGGAACATATTGACTATATACCTTTTGTTCCTCTCTTAATAAGCTTTCGAATGAGGTAAAAGGTATATCTATAATTAGGGGCTAAAGGGTCACAGCAGTCCATTCCATTATTCAAAATATCCATTTCATTATTCAAAATTGGCTATTTCTTAATTTTCACGCGTATTTTGGCATTTAGGTCCTCCGTAACCCCTCTAATGGTCATTGCGGCACATATCGTTTATACTCAGTTTATTCCTCTATCAATAAACTTTAATTTGGTGTATAAATTTTTCCTTGATTAGGGGCTGACGGGTTGCAGCAGTCCATTCCATTATTCAAAATAAGCTATTTCTTAATGTTCACGCGTATTTCGATATTTAGGTCCTTCGTTACTCCTCTAATATGCGTTGCGGAACATATTGACTATATACCTTTTGTTCCTCTCTTAATAAGCTTTCGAATGAGGTAAAAGGTATATCTATAATTAGGGGCTAAAGGGTCGCAGCAGTCCATTCCATTATTCAAAATATCCATTTCATTATTCAAAATTGGCTATTTCTTAATTTTCACGCGTATTTTGGCATTTAGGTCCTCCGTAACCCCTCTAATGGTCATTGCTGAACAATTGACTTGTTATATCTATAATTAGTGGATGAAGAATAGCAAAGGTCCAGTGAAAATAAAAAAAGACCACGTAGAGTATTTTAATTTATAAATATATGTTTTGGTATTCAGGTCGTCCATACATTGAACCAAGGAATTCCTGTTAAAAATAGTTAGGAAAACCCACTAGTTTATCCTCCGAAACTAGGAACCAGATAAATAAATCAAATTAGAATTTAAAGAGTGTTTTTATTTATTTTTTCTGATGTCAATTTGAATATTTGTTAGATAACACCAAAAAGACTAATTTAGAAATACGGGATATAGCTAAAATGTCACAGTCAATTTTTTTATTTTTATTTCACTATTCACCGCTTTAACTTGAATAATGAAACATAAACTATTTCATTATTCATTATTCATCACTTGATATTGAATAATGAATAGTGAACTATTTCATTATTCATTATTGAATTTTGAATAATGAAAAATGAATAATGGACGTACTTCAGCGCGGTACCCTATTACCGAAGATACAATTTGATCTGTGTTCCAATTGTGTTTGATAACTAAAGTAACGTGTACCGCAGACAGATTCGTGTCTGCTGAATTAATATAATGTATTTAAAATTCGTGTATACGTACAGCATATTTTGACATCGTGTATACGTACAGCATATTTTGACATCATAAATACGTACAGCATATTTGAAATTATGTATTAATATTGATTCACTTATAGGGTCTTTGCATCGGAATTAAACATATTTATTCTAAAACCAGTTGTTGGCATGACACGGGTTATGTTCGTCTCATATATTTTATGATGGTATAGTACTAAACCCCTAACAGGAGGGATTGTGAACAGATATATCATGTTATGGAGGGGTATTTGCAAAAAATACCAGTCAAGGGACGGTGAAATTTCCCAAGCCGCTAGGCGAGGGAAATTTGGTCCCAAGACTGGTATTTTTCGCAAATACCCCTCCATTCCATGATATATCTGTTTAATTACACCGAATAGATTTTGATTGAAACTGTCTGTACATGTGAAGGGAAATCGTAGTACCGCTGGAATTATACATGTACTTATACGCGTTAGTGCTGTCTTTTTGTAACGTCATGGTATCTATATGTGTAAACGTCATTGTTATACCATCTTTAAATCGTTCATTTGTATAGACATTTTTCCCCCTCTTTATATGTATATTTCTGACAGTTTTCGGATTAACTCAATCAATAGTGCTTAACCATGTTGTCGGGATAAAGTGAGGAAGGTTCCGAATAATTTTGGCGGGAACTGGCTCGCGAGGGTAAAAAAGGAATATCCAAAATGGCAAATACCACGGCAGAGTGGGGAATTTGAGGCAAATTCACCGGCAGTGATGAAAAACAGGCAAATTCGTTTGAAATGAGAAAAAAATGTTAGAATATGCGAAAAATACACTGGCTAACAACCAATCAAAATCCGACATTCTTATATAAGGTGTAATTATGCCTGATATTCATATGATGAAGACATAATCTTTCAATCAGCTTAATTGAGGTCTGGAGATGGCATGTCAGTAACTGTTAGTAGTCTGTTGTTACTTTAAAAATTTGTATTATTGTCATTTTGTTTATTTTCTTTTGTTTCCTATTCTGACATCTGACTCGGACTTCTCTTAAACTACATTGGTTAGAGGTATAGGGGGAGGGTTGAGATCTCAAAAAAACATGTTTAACCCCGCCGCATTTTTGCGCCTGTCCCAAGTCAGGAGCCTCTGGCCTTTGTTAGTCTTGTATCATTTTTAATTTTAGTTTCTTGTGTATAATTTGGAGTTTAGTATGACGTCCATTATCACTGAATTAGTATACATATTTGTTTAGGGGCCAGCTGAAGGACGCCTCCGGGTGCGGGAGTTTCTCGCTGCATTGAAGACCCATTGGTGGCCTTCGGCTGTTGTCTGTCCAATGGTCGGGTTGTTGTCTCTTTGACACATTCCCCATTTCCATTCTCAATTTTATACATACATACATCATATTTTAATGTCTTAACTATTGCATCTTCTGTAAAAATAGCCTGTAATAAGGTGTAGTACACAACAAGTAAGAGTTATTTTTCACAAACATTCGTCCTGAGCATGTATCAATCACGTTTTTTGAAAATACTGGTTATTCTTTAAACAGTCATTTTTATAAGTAAGGCACTTAATGACATAATTGTTTTTAGTATCACAAGTTATCAATTATATTAGTACACACTGCAGTACATATGACAATGTGCATATAAAACTTACAATAAAAGCAAAACTGATTTAGATTTGACGTAATCTCAATTCTAAAAATAATATTTGGCAGTATAAATATACTAAATTGGAATTTAGCCTAACGATATTAGATCTGCAAACTTTGTCTACACAGTGTACAGTTACATAAACCACTCGTTAGTTAGGCCATATAAAATTGAGAATGGAAACAGGGAATGGGTCAAAGAGACAACAACCCGACCAAATATCAGAAAACAGCCCAAGGCTACCAATGGGTCTTCATCAAAGCGAGAAATCCCGAACCCGGAGGCGGGATTCAGCTGGTCCCTAAACAAAAATGTATACTAGTCATAGAAAATGGACGTCACACTAAACTCCGAAACATATAAATGAACCGAAATTAAAAAAACATACAAGACTAACAATGGCCAGAGGTTCCTGACTTGGGACAGGCGCAAAAATGCGGCGGGGTTAAACATGTTTTGTGAGATCTCAACCCTCCCCCTATACCTCTAACCAATGTAGAATAAACATTCACACAGCAATACACACAGTAAAACTCAGTTTAAAAGAAGTCCGAGTACAATGTTAGAATAGATAACAGAAGAAACTGAGCAAAATGACAATGATCAACATATATATATATATATATAAAGTAACAAAGACACTACTAGCAGTTACTGACATGCCAGCTCCAGACCTCAATTAAAATGATTGAAAGATTATGTCTTCATCATATGAAAATCAAGCACAATCCCTCCCGTTACCATTTATCATACCATCATAAAATATACGAGAAGAACATAACCCGTATCATGCCAACAACTGGTTTTAGAATAAATGTGTTTATTTCCGATGCAAAGACCCTATGAGTGAATCAATATTGATTCCAAAAAAATGTTATCTTTAATGACCTGACAACAGTATCGTAACTATATCCCTTCTGAATAAGTGATTGAAGGTTTGTTTAGCTTTTTAGGTGAATGACACCAATATATAAAAGTCTTAATGACAGACAGACAGACAGACAGACAGACAGACAGAATATTTTATTATAGTGTCACATACCAATACAGAACAATATCATACATCATAATATAAGTATAGAAATACAAATAAAAATTTCAATCGAAGTTAAAATATCGGTATCCAGCCACAACTGACTTATGAGACAATTTCGCTTAAAGAATTATTCTGACATTCATTAAAAATGAATAAATAAAACTTTTACAATAATAGAACATACTATACACCAATATTTTCTGCGATTAAACATATAATATAAAGATTTTGCTAAAAAGGGTTGTATACAGTCATGTGACATCAGAAAAATAAATTTGTCATCATGATTAAAATCGTTAAAATTTGGGTTAATTGCACTTGCTTTCAAAAATAGTCCATATTGCAGATCTGAATAAAATTCACAATGCATTAAAAAATGTTTTTCATCTTCTACAAAATCAACTATACAATATTTACATTTTCGGTCTTTAAGAAGAGTTTTTGGCTTGGTGTAACGACCTGTTTCCATTGCTAAAGGTAGACACCCACTTCTAAAATTAGATAAAATACGTCTTTGTCGTCTATCATTTCCATTTTTTATATATGAACTTGTTTCTAATTCATTTTTATACATTCTATAGGTATGTAACTTGTTACCATTTGGTTCATTTCTATCTTGATACAATTTTTCAACCCATTCTTGTTTTTCAATTTCACACAATTTTGTTTTAATATCATAAATTTTATGTCTGTTGGAATATTGACTATCAATAATATCATGTATACCAAGTTTATGTGCTATTTCATAACATTTCTTGTCCCACGATCGAGAAATATTAATACCCCACATATTGACCTTGTGTGTTATTCTATAGTCATACGTATATCGCACTCTCAAAAATAGACGGTACGTTTCAAAAAGTTCGGCTGATTTGGTTGTTTCATAACCCATATCACCTAAAACCGCTATATTCGAAGCATTTGATGAACTTCCCATAAAGAGTCTATATTTAAAAAAAAAACAAGTAAAACTGTGAGCTACTGCTCACTGATGATACCCCCGCCGAATTATTTTGGTAAACAGGAAGTTGTTGAGTGATGAATCTGAAAACGCATCACACGGTGTAGCTGACTTATATAAACCCTGAAACCAAATTTCAGAAATCCTTGTCAAGTAGTTCCTGAGAAAAATGCGACGAAAATATTCATGAGACGGACGGATGGACTGACGTACTGACGGACTGACGGAAGGACGGAAGGACAGACAAAGGTAAAACAGTATACCCCCCCTTTTTTAAAGCGGGGGTATAATAAAATAACCAACTAGAAAGTACAATAAGTATCGGGTCGCCTGGAACTACAATGCTACAACCGCAATTTTATGCAAAACAATGTATAATAAGCATGTATAATTATATTCAACATATCTCGTAAAAAAGTGATATATTTAGTCCCATATCTTATACAAATATATGACCGTATATTCATCACTATATATATATATTATTTTATCATATGATCTATGATACGTATTGACAAGTATATAAATTAAAAAAACTTTCAAATTATATGGATAAAAACCATGCAGGGAAAGAAATGTAAACGTGTCAATAGTATGCAAAGAACAGACATGGCGAAAACTAAATGCTCGACTAGCAAAAAGGTGAGAAAGATCAATTATTATAAGATCGAGCTTCGCTAGCGAGGCGGAATTCGATGGTAAGGTTTCATTTGTGAGGTTCTATTTTTCATTTTCTAGAAGCTAACAAGCATTGTCGTAAAGATAAATTCGACCAGGGTGAATATTTTTTTCCAAAATATATCCGAATGGCTAACTTTGAATTGTGAGCCACATTCTGAGAAGTACATACAACATGACATTTAAATGAACTTTAAGCTAAGCAATGAAAACGTCATGCATTGTGAAAACGGCTTGCCTAAATTTAGGGCTTTATTCGGAATAAGAAAAAATGGTGGAAGATGGTGATTATATTTGTTTCCTGTGAATTAATTATAGATTAGCACGACTTTCAGAATTTATCTATAAGACATGTTTGGGGCAACATACAGTCCTTAAACATACACAGTCGTCTTAACAATATGTCAAGCAACAAATTGTTCATGCAGAGCAGTGACGCATCCAGATGGGAGCAAACAAATAATTATATCATGTTTTTCACGATTCACGTGATTTTTTAGCACAAATTCGTCAACAAAAAAATTCGTATCTAGGCAGTATATAATTAGTTTTATGGAATTACCCCCATCCCCCAAATCCTTTTTAAAAAATTGGAAACGCTCCTGCAGAGTATTATTTTTACGCTCTTCGAACCTGCACGACTAATGGTAATATATATGTACGTAACTTTACGAGCGTAGATTTCTTTTAATAGACTACACATTAAGATTCATTTTTTCTGAAGATAAAAAGAACATCCACAAGATTTATCAATCACTGATATCAATTATGAAGTGACGTATAAATTATTCGGATTCAAGAAAACGAGAGAAAAAAGATATTTTCAGATAAAAAGAATAGTTGTTGTAGACCAGCAAAACACATTGCTGTAAGTAAAAATATAATGCATGTCTATCTTCAGCTTATTCACATAGAATTGATTTCGAACTGTTAATGTCTTTTTAATGAAAACGTATGGGAAACTAAGCCAGTAGTACAAATCAAGAAACAAACAAAAACTTTTCCTCAATTTTTATTATTTTGCATTGTCTGTAATTATAATATCAGATATATAAATGATTTCATAAAAATATAAATGTGAATGTAAAACAATACAGTTGTGTGCACTATTTTGAGACTTAAAATTTTACAAAATAAAGTTCGAATTTAATATTATATTCCAGTCGCTAAAAATAAAAAAAATCTATTTTTAATATTATTTATGTTAAATGTGTTCTTAACTTAGCATTTCGTATTTCCGTGGATTTATTTTTAGATTTTACTGGTATCAACCTCCTCATGTTATATATATATACATCTATATTTCTATCAAACAAAATTCTATAAAATGATCTCCACAAAATTATAAGATGAACTTGGTATAGTATTTTATGAGGGCGCTTACGTCCTCTCCTATTTTTGGCATTATCTCCTTATATAAAGTGGTCTAACACCAAACCTCCTATAATCATGTTGCAAAATTTTAAAATTTATTGAGTAAAAAATTAATGAGATTACTGATTAAGACTTAGCAGAGGAATTTAGTATTACAGATACTGTTTTTAATTAAAATCAAAATCTGATCATTAGTCGTAAGTACTTCAGTGCTAAATCTGAAGTACTTACATGCTTTGGTTTACTTTATAAATTTTGACTGGAAGGGGAGTTGTCTCATTGGCACTCATTCCACATCTTCTTATATCTATATGATTATTCCAATGCATGTATTAACCCTTTGTTTAACGAATTCTTTTTGACTATTAAATATGTTGACCAGTTAAGTTATTACACCTGATCTATATATTATAATTAAAATTTTATTCTTAAAAAAGAAATGAGTATTATCGGCTACAATACTACAAATTACACGAGAAACAAAGATAGCTTAACCAAGAAACTCAACTGCGTTTAACTTATATACTCAAAAGTTAAAGATCAACATCCTATAAAATCAAAATTAAAATGAAAACTTGTTAATAATAATAATAATTTTAAGTAATAATAATATTGGTTATAAATGAAAACAACAATACACTCAGTAAAGTTTTGATAACGCAAACAAAGTCAAAACTGAAAAATAAATGAGTCATCAAAGCTGAGGGCACATTTTTTGTTATTTATTTTTTATCAATATATTTTTTTTTGTATCACAGCAAAATGACTTGAGTGTGTAGGTAAAGGTAATATCTTTGGCTAGCTTGCTTGCTAGCTGAACCGTGAAATCATTATTAGGTTTGGTATACATGGTATACTACCCTCCTTTCGGAGCAGACACATAGATTGGTTATCTGTCGGACTAGTCTACTCTTAATATGTTGGTTCGCTTGTGTTTCTGTCGAATTTCATTTTATTATAAAAAGAGGACAATCATGGTGTATAAATTCAAGACAAAAAAAATGGCTAAGGGAGCTACCATTTGATTTTTAATGGGGGGGGGGGGGGGGGGGTGCAGGACAAAATTTTTCATCCTAGCCCCCCCTCCTAAAAATCTAATGGTAGCTCCCTAATCGCAATTGTAAAAAAATAAAAGCAAAAACACACTGCTTTTACACTGTTCCACATCCCAAAGTCCCAAAGTCAGTGATATGACTAACATAGAGTATCTGATAGTACATGACGTTTGAAAATACCATTTAGAATTCATTATAGGAAGCTTGTGTGTGATTGTACTTTTAGTCATTGCTTCCAAAACCAGATCTAGCGTGTATCGAAAAATTTACTATTACAAAACTAATTGTTATATAGGTGCTCATTCGAACTGGGGTTTTAGAGAAACGTCTATATAAGAGAGAAACAAGTTGATTCTGAGAGTGAAGCTTTAAAAAAATGTTTCCAGACAGAATGTTTGCCTTTTATTGGTTGGTAATTTACAAACTTTTTTGTTTACTCTCAAGTCCGGTCAGGACATCTTTTTTGGGACCAGAATACTAGTATCTATTTCCAAAAAAACTGCCAGGCCCTTAGGCTTCTACCTAAGAATTTAACGATCGTCAGCCTCGATCTATTGGAGACAAGAGAAATTCGTTGATGTTATTTGAAAATGATACATATTTCATCGTTCGGGGTTTAACCCCTTAGAACGATACATGTACATGATGTAGTACAATCTAGCAGTCTGTACGAGTATGGATTTCCATCTTAGTAGTCAACGCCGAATAAAACTTGATGGAGATATGGATAAATTATGAAGAATTAGAATTGTATTAAAACTTATGTTCTCCAAGTTACATGCACTCAAATGTTCTTTACATGCGATATTGCTATATCTGTCTTGAAAGACTATTTCATTTTTTTGACCACTCTTAAACAATTCAATACGCTTGCCTTTCTCTAATATATTTACTCGCATCGAGAGAGATGTAAATGGAAAGTAAAGTCCAATTTATCGATGATTTAACACAATATACCAAAACATTACTATATTTGATGATTAATCATGTTTTTTCTTGAATTTGAAAACCGCTAACGGAAAGCTCTACTTATGAAGTATCTATAAAATTTAAAATCTATGTCAGTGCGAGGGTGTATATTTCCCTCTATCCAATTTACACTAACATATCACAGTTCTTTTTTTAATAATTTGATAAGATCTTTTTCTTGACGGTATATATACATATATATACATTTCAAAAATCCGTTCGATCTATATTTATCTTTACATTTAAATTTAGAAAGGACATTGTCGTTGGTTCACGTCTGTCTTATTTGTTTTTTGTAAATTGGTTTGTTATAAATTAGGCCGTTAGTTTTCTCAATTGAATGGTTTCATATTTTTCATGTCGGGACCTTTTATAGCCGACCATACGGTATGGGTTTTTCTCATTGTTGAAGGCCGTACTGTTACCTATAATTGCTTACATCAACTTCATTTGAACTTTGGTGGATAGTTGTTTCATTGGCAATCATACCACATCTCCTTATTTTTATATAATTATATATACCTACACTCAAGAAAGCTAGTAGTTCACATCTATTTCCTATTGTTGAATAGTTGTTTTTTTGGGAATATTGCAAATGCTACTTAATTCAAAATAAATACAAACATAATGTTAACACACAAACAAATATGCTATTATAATATATACATGCATAAAAGAGCATATCAGAAAAATATCTGTTTCATTTTTTTTTTGTCTTTTTGTTTTTTTTGTTTTTATTCCTTTAATTGTTTTTTTTAAGCCAGAACAGTTTGATGTTATCTAAGGAATCACACATTGTTACATGTGTTCATACACTGGACATATTTTCCTTTTCTGTCCGATAAAAATCTTCTTTTACTGAGAAACAAGACAAGCATCCGTCTCCAATCCGCCGAAAACTAGGAGTGTCATGGTAATCATTGAACCTTAGGATGACCATAAAAATGAAGAACAAACAATGTAAAAAATTGTATAACATATAATACCTATGTTTCAATATTCGTTTAAATCCTAGCACAATAAGATGTTTCACAAAATTGGTAATATTTTGATATTAAAGTATTGTAATTGGCCTAGGCAATTTTGACATACCATACGACGTAGAAATGCTGACAGATGAACAAACGGAGAGATGGATAAAGGGACATGTGGACAAAGTGAAATTAGTAAGAGATTCACTACTCTACTAATGTGCATTGCAGAACATACCTGAAATTCTTAGAAACATAGATTCTGTTAAGATTCGAGTGTGTTAACATGGAAATAATAATTATCTAAAAACATTAATTTAGTTGCCCAATTTTTCATTCATTGAAATATCACTAACAGAATTAATGGGTTTTTTTCATTGAATAGTCTAACGCAATTTCACTGAACAATAACAAGAATTTACCACGCTGTACTCTTGAAAAATATGGTCATTTTCCATTTAAAAGTATTTAAATTAAATATCTATTTTACTAAAACATTATTGGCAATCTAAGGTCTCGGTGTCCTTACGCTACTGAAATCTTTAGTGCGATCTTTGGAATGCATATTGCAGCAAAATGAATGGTTTATACTGATTTTTTATAGGGTTGTTGATAAAAGCGTAAAGGCATCACTATGGGGAAAGGTTACCGGATGTTATAACAAATAATTTGTACTGCCTATAGCTTATCCTTCTTACATCCAAGATATAACATATGAGCTGCGTCGGATAGAAATCGACCTTATGCAAATGAATATCAATACATCTGTTACCATATTTTGGGTTGAAAAAATCTCTATACAAAGCCTGTAACTGTTTTGAAATTGAGTTAATATAAAAACCTCACAAAACAAACCTAAATTCATCTTTCATTTCGTATTTGAATGTTCCAAAATCAATCAAAGTCTTATCAATGTACATGTATACGTGCACTTACATAAGGAAACGAGAAACACTTATGAACCACATCAACAAACGACAACCACTGAACATCAGGTTCCTGACTTAGGACAGGTGCAAACAAATGCAGCTGGTTTAAACGTTTTAATAGGCGCCAACCTTCACCCTACCTGAAACAATAGTGTGACATCACAACATAGAAAGACACACTATAAAATATCAATTGAAAAGTCTTAACTCAATCAAAAGACAACCATAACCTTGGACAAAATGCCGCCAAATAAAATAACGTACACAGGTAAATAAAAATAATTTTGTTGTAAGGTATGCATGGAGTACGGAAATAATTTTTACAAACTAAATAATTTTGTTGTTCCTAGTACGAGAACAAAAGTGAAAATTTATCGTCATACTAAACACTTATCAAAGGTGGTATATATTAAAAATAGTGAAACGCGATATATATTTTCGTGAACTTAAAACACATGGTCGTGGTACTTAAGAGAAATGTAGACAGTATATCGATGGTTTGTTCAAAAGTTTCTTTAAGTTGGAAGAAAAATTTGGGAAAACAAGCAATCTTGATAATACTTTAATTATTTTGCATGATGATAAAGTTAATTTAAGCTGTTACTATTATACATGAAGGTGTTTTATAGTTAATTTGAGCTAGGACTATAGTCGATAGTCGTAATGTGTTTTAAAAGATTTAAGGATTTCCCCATTTTTTAAGTAAATTAAAAATACGATATAAGACATTTGAAAAAGACTTAAAGTTATATTAATTTGTATGTAAATTTTATGAATTAATATAAAAAGTTTTTTTAAATTTGGAATTTCAACTAACTTATTTTATGCACAAAAATATAATTCCGCATGAAAATTGTTCTACTTCTCTAATCCCCTCTGAAGGAAACTTAAATATATAATGTTCCAATTCAACAAAATGATTAGTTATCCTTTTGATGAAAGGGATGTTACATACGTTGGTTTTTTGTGAAGTTCAGTGGAAGATTTCTCTGATGGAGACAAAAAGGGAAGGTCTGAGTGCTAACAAAACTAGTTTAACACCGCCATATGTTCATGTGCCTTTACCCTTCCCCTTGTACGGAACTCGTCAGTGGGTGGCAAGATGTTTACATTTTTTTCCATCAAATTATATCCTTTAGTGAATTTTGCGCTTATTGTAGATCTTGATTAGCTTAATTGTTAAAACCTGCAAAGTTTTGCAGATAACTGATAGTTGGTGTTTTAAAATATCTATTTAATTTAAGAAATGCACATTTATACCCCGAGTGGTTGAATTAAAGCATTTGAACAATACAAATATATACACAATGCACAAAATTATAAAATATTAAAGCATCATATACCGGTAGTAAAAAAAAGTAATAATTAATAAAAGTCCCACTTTTATCCCGAGGTGTTGATGACATAACAACAGAAAACAATGACAAACAAAATGAATACATAAATAAATGTACTCGTATTACTGGTATCCATTAATTGAAAATCATATCATCTTTTGTTTTGTTAAAACAACCAATCTCTGCAAGACTTGCATTATCTAAATGCTTTTACCGGCTTTTAATATCATTAAAAACTGAAATCTCTATTGTACAGAAAGCAAAACATGATAATTGATGCCTAAAATAATTGTCTTATGTACTAAAACTTAACTCGATCAGTGCTTGGTACATGTAATGACCCATGTAATCAGTAATAAAATGTACGTTAAGATATTAAAACAGTTGTTTCTTTTACAAAACCTTTATTAAAACTAAATTTTCAAAATGGGAATCAATTCTGACGCTTTTGAAACAAACTTGAAGCTACAGAATGAAAATTCTGATGTTATTGTCTATCTTGACAATAATTTCCCAAAGGGATTAAATATATTTATAGTTCTATATTTAGATTGAGAATTTCCCAGGTAAAACCTGTCGATTGTATAAATACGAACATATCTATGATAACTATCACAAGCTGCGTCGACTTGTATAAATATAAATTCTAGTATATTACTGTTCTTAACTATCTGAAGCAGCATGGTAAGATCTTAATTATTGATAAATAATGTGTTTCTTTTTTTTCAGAAATTCTAATGCAGATCTATATTTAGTGAAGTTATTAATACAATTATGAAGATTTTAAAAACATGCATATACTCATATTTAATATGAGTTTATTATATTCTTAGCTCGTGCTACTATAATATACTTTTAATAACTCTTTGCAATTTGTATGTGCATGTTTATAGTCAACGTAAGGATTTTGCATTAAAATTCAGCATCAAATGCGTTTTGCACTTAGTATTTTGGCAACTGTCTGCATGTTTATAACTATGATGCACAAACCTTTTGGTTAGTATAGTTGCAGATATAATTTTATTTTAATGATGATTTGTATCATTTTAGGTTACCATGGCATCTTCTAACATACTCTCCGAAAATCTCTTGCGTTACAGCACATATTCCAATTTTCCGGGATCATGTCCTGTCTTCGCTTCTCGATTGTCGTCTGCAGGATTCAGTTATGGAGGTAAAGGCGATATAGTCACGTGTTCATCTTGTGGATTGAAAGAAGGGAATTGGGATGGGATGAAAGTTCCACTGTTGGTTCATGCACAACAATCTCCATCTTGTCCACTAGTACAAAGTCTGTGTAAGACAGATTCTTATGTCGATACGAAATCGGGTTCAAAATGTAGCGAAGATGTGGAACAGTTCGAGACACCAACATCAGACAAATATGACACATCAACCAACTCTGGAAACTTTTTACTAAAATGGGAACCGAAACCTTCAAGCAAAGACCTGTCTTCTAAAAATGACGTGACAAATCACAAAAACAATACCGAAAGCATTTCAGCTATCAGTTCAGGTTATGGGTCTTACGATCGTACTGACGGTTTTGACAGCAACAGTTCCACAGAGAGTGGTAATTTCGTTCAAATACCTCCATCACCGAACAGCTTGCCTTCATCATCATCCATGATACCATACACTAACCCAAGATATCCACACAACACCATAATGTCTGAAAGATTGAAAACCTTCAACAACTGGCCGTCTCATTATCCACAGTCCCCTGAAAATTTAGCAAGAGCGGGATTTTTCTATACAGGTACATTTTTTTACATGCCTATCTAAGATGTTATATCATTGCATTCTTGCATAAATTTTAAAGGTTTCATGAAAGGTATTTTTTTTCTTATTATGTCGTAAAGTGGTTTTTAATTTTGCATGCTTGGGAGTTGAGAAAAGTAAATATTATCTACGATTTTTCTGGGGCTATTGCATGGAATATTTTTTTCTTTATTTTTGTTGTTTCTTTTCACTGAACTCGTGACGAAAAATATATTTACTTATTTAAATGTTCATTTTTTCCAATAAACATCCTTGTTTGTGATTAAAATCATTTAAAAAAGTTCTGACTAAAACTTTAAATATGTAGGCTGTTCACGGAAGTATTGATTATTGTTCATTTGCACTAAATCCGGAACCGAAACTTGATTATTTCATCGGTTTCTATATTTAAAAAGTCCTGGCCTACATACTTGAGGTTAAAGGGGATTTTATGAAAATATGATAAACTTATCTAATTTCAATTCGCTGAAAAGAACTGTCCGTGTTTTAGGTAATTGAAAATTGAAGCTATTCCAATTTTGTTGGAAAAAGGGGGTCCTGTATTTTTTTTTTTTAAATATATTGTTTGGTTTTATATTTCTTGAAACAAGCTTGTTAATATAAGGGAAGTGAAAAATATAGTTTATTTCCTTTGAAAATTTAGGGGAAAATTATTTCAACGTTGAGTTTCAAGCAAAAAAGTCTCTGCATATTTGATATTGAAAAACATGTTTTTCTAATTAGAAATTGTTTGTTCTAAAAACCGTCCTCCCCAAGCAAAAAAAAAGTGAACGGAGAAACATTGCCTTAAAGATTATATTTGTGGGACAATAAGAACAAACGCATATATATAAAGACAATTAATTAATTTGAGGAACATAAAATTTTAATTCAAATTGACGAAACGTGTCTGCGCTTGTTCAATAAATAAATGAGTTTAATAGGTTTTTCGTTGTTTTCATTTGTTTCTGCCCTTTCTGGTGTATATATAAAAAAAATATACAAATATTTGTAAAATTCAGAGAATTAAAAAATATTTCAACTATAGTTATCTAATTATGCAATATCTTTTTAGGTATCAACGATCTAGTCAGATGCTATCATTGTGGAGGTGGTTTGACAAGCTGGGAGGCTGAAGATAATGCATGGGTCGAACACGCCCACTGGTTCCCACAGTGTACATTCTTACGTCAAAATAAAGGTGACGAGTTTATCCAGATCGTCCAAAGTATGGTAGATGAACTGACACAAGAACCAAATCAACAGGTAAACTATTTTAAAGATTTAAAAAGTTTTTGAATTTTTGTGCCTTTTCAAACTTTGAAATCAGAAATGCATTCACATGAAACAAATTGGTTGGTCGTTGTTTGCTTAACATTCAGTGGCAAATATTTCATGCATATTCAAGATGAGAACAAAACAGAAATCAATATATAGATACTGTAAATTGGTCGGGATGAACGGCATGAATTTTACAATGCCGAAGGAAAAACCTATGTTGAATGAGGGTATAGGATATCGGTATTCTTACCAATGAAAACACCGTGGACAAATTTACCGTTGCAAAACTCAATGCAATCTATGTAAATTTCATAAAAAAAGAACGTTTCAATAAAACAACTTTTCAATACCAAAACAAACAGAGGAATAACAATGCATACATGAATTAAACTTCAATTCAAAAACTTGTACTTTATATAGATGTATTTTATATTAACAGGAAAACACTGGTGACGCACTCGGCGTCGGTGCAACCGCTAGCAACTATAATACACTCGAAACAGAAACTGACATCGAAGGACTTATATCAGTGAGAAGTGTGAAAGAAATGGGTTACAGTATAGACATTATTAGACCAGCTTACAAAGAGGCCGTACATCAACACAGTAAGTTAAACAAAACGTTTTTGATTCTCATAATTTTCCTTTAACTTTTGAACCTTTAAATTATCTCATCGGCTTTAACTACTTGACGATACGATATAGGTTTCACTTAGAAAAAGGGATATCCTTACCCTTCCGGAGTATATGATTGTACTTCCGATTTTGGTCTAGATAGGGTTCTTAATATTTACAATTTGTTTGGGTTTTCTTGCTTTTCTTTACGCAAGTCTCGTTGTATTTGATGTATCTGTGATTTTGTCTTTGATTCACATATCAACACTGTTCGATTGGTATACTCTTCTATTAGTTTTATGAGTGTATTGACATGAATCATTGAACCTTCACTGTAGTGTTCCTAATAATATAAGTAATTCCACATAAGACATCACATAAGCATAAATATTTAATTTTATAATTCTAATAAATGGCCCACACAATTTTACATTATTATCAAACATCAAAGCAAAGTGGACTAACAGATCAATATTTTTATTTTTAGAAACAACCGCCATTTCTGCAGTACAACTTATGGAAAAGGTACTTGAAATAGAAGAACGTTCATCAAGTATTACCCAGGCAACACCAATTGAAGGTGCAAGTGCAAATATTTCAACTACAGAGAAACCAAACCAAAGTATCCAAAATCCTGGAAAATCACCAGAAGTACCAACTTCAGTACCCAGCTCCGCAGAAAACCAAATCCCATGTGTCCAGTACGAAACAACAACAGGCGAATGCAAAGGTAAGCATGCTTTATCTCACACAGTACACTGTTTTATTCAAAATCACATTTTTTTCTATTTTTATCGAAAAAATAATTCGAAGGTTTCATCGAATTTTCTCAGTACTATTGTCTCTGTATTATATGCATAAAATATTTCATATTAGGCGTTAAGCAAGTAAGTTATCAATCAATCTTGGTAATATGATCGATTCTTTGTTAAAAAAAAATAGAAGTGAAACTTTAATGTTGTATGGTTATAACTTTTGGCCCATGATTGACCTATCCTGACTAATTCCTCAATGTTATATTTTTGACACATAATTGACCTTATTTATTTTTTCTTTTAAAGGCTCTACACATGGTGATATAAGCAACAAAGATTTACTTCTGTGTAAAGTCTGTTTGGAAGAAGATGTCAGCATCGTTTTCCTTCCATGTGGTCATCTGGCGACTTGTGGTCAATGCGCTCCGGCCATGAAGCGATGTCCAATATGTAGGCAACATGTCAAAGGATCTGTGAAAACTTATCTTTCCTGATATTGGATCAACAACTAGAGGCACCCCAAAGCCTCTCTAAATATTCAAATCTAGCTTGGGTTACTCCAGACAGAATAGATGCGCCTCGGTTACTCCAGACAGAATAGAGGTGGCGTTGTTTGATTGGAGTGTAAATGGTAGCAGTCTAATTGAACAGCAGGAGGAGGATTTGACAGGCGGTGGAATTGAACATAAGGAGGTATAGATTTGGCATGCGGTGGAATTGAACATAAGGATGTAGATTTGGCATGGGGTGGAATTGAACATTAGGAGGTAGATTTGGCATGCGGTGGAATTGAACATTAGGAGGTAGATTTGGCAGGCGGTGGAATTGAACATTAGGAGGTAGATTTGGCAGGCGGTGGAATTAAATAGATGAATGTAGATTTGGCATGCGGTGGAATTGAACATTAGGAGATATTTTGGCATACTATGGAATTGAGCTTTTTGCTTATGGTCAATGTTACAGACCATAGTTATCAGCAGTAGATAAAATAGACGAATGCGTTTCCATCGAGAGAAGAACATCTAGACTTAAATAGTTTAATTTCGTCATGTATATATGTACAGCAAAGATCTAATGAAACTTTAAAACAATATTTTGAAAATCAATTCAAAAAATATAAAAACAGTATTGCACTATGTGGAGCAAGACAATGTATCTACTGTGTAGAAAGTATATTATTTGTTGAATACAGAAAATACAAGTCTAAAAGGTAATTTAGCCATGTACTTTTAGATAATGTATCAACGATGTAGAAAGTATATTATTTGTTGATTACAGAAAATACAAGTCTAAAAGGTATTTTAGCCATCTTAGTTTTTATTTGTTTGTTACACCATATGCAGAATACACATGTTCATGTTACTGAAACATTTGGAACACGATATTGATAGACTCTTTCTATTGAGAATGTGGGGGTAATGTCAAAACGACAGCATTCCAAACAACAAAAATTTACAAAATAGATAACTGGAATGCACAGGTATACTCTCTACCGATAAAGTGGGCTTAAATCTTTGATACAAATCTCTGATTTGAGAATGACAATGGATAATAGGTAGTTGAAATGATTTCTTAAAGTTACTTAAACCATGGATGTGCTAGCGACATAAAGTATAACTCATTTTTGTTTGCATAAACTGATAATGGAACTTTTGAAATTGAACGCATAAGCCATCGTTTAAATCACTTTTTTTCTGATATAGTCATAGTTCAGCTTAATTTTTCGAGAAGCTGCAATCTTCAAAAAGTAATTATGCTTAAATAATATTTATACTTACTTGTCTTCACAACTATTAATTTGCTTACATCTTGGGTATGCATTTTAAACACTTTCTTGAGGATGTCAGTTACATATTCTTTAAGCACTATCCATTTTTGGTGTTATTGACGATGTCAGATACATATTCTTTAAACACTATCCATTTTTGGTGTTATTGACGATGTCAGCTACATAATACTTCAAGTACTGAAGTTTTATTATGTCATGTTGACGATGTCAGATATATAACGTCCAAGCATTGACGATTTATTGAACGATCCTTCAGGCACATACGGCTTTTGGTAATGGACGATGTCGAAAACTAACCTTCAATCATTGACGATTTTTGGTCTTATTGACGATGTCAGCTATATACTCTTTATGAACTGACGATTGTTGGTCCTAATGACGATGTTAGCTACATATCTGTTACGGACTGACGATTGTTGATCCTAATGACGAGGTCAGCGACTGTATCATATTGTTGTTCCTTTTGACGATGCCAACTAAATATCCTTCAAAAACTGACGGTTCTTTGTCCTAATGACGCGATCAGCTACATAATATCCTGTAAGCACTGACGATTTTTGGTCTTATAGCCGATGTCAGCTACAGTTCCTTTAAGCATTGACAATGTTTAGTCCTATTGACGAGTTCAGCTACATAATTATCCTTGGATCACTGACGATTGTTTAGTCCTATTGAAAAGGTCAACTATTATATTTTAGTTTTGGTCCTATTGACGATGTCAACCACATATATCCTTCAAGTACTGACGAATTTTGGTCCTAGAAAGATATGCCGTGATGTGCATTGGAAATTGATATCGTTTTATAAAAGAAAGAGAAGAAAACAACAGGTTGTAAATTTCACGCGTCCAAACCGAGTTTTTCTGGATTTACCTTCATCAGGAACGCTCAAAGCCAAGGACGTATAATGATGTCAAAGACGAATTTTGAAAGTACAAATTAGATAATTTTGTACATACTTTTTTCCTCAATAAAAATAATGATTTATATCAACTTGCCATGAACAATCCGTCGGATACTACGCGTAGATCAGTAATTGCGAACAATTGGGTTTGTATTTTGTAGTGGCCTTTTTGTTCACTCTTTAGTTTAGTGGTCTGTTTTTTCTATTACTCGTGGTGTTGTCTCTATTGTTTTCTACTAAGATTTTCTATTACTCGTGGTGTTGTCTCTATTGTTTTCTACTAAGATTTTCTATTACTCGTGGTGTTGTCTCTATTGTTTTCTACTAAGAGTTTCTATTACTCGTGATGTTGTCTCTATTGTTTTCTACTAAGATTTTCTATTACTCGTGGTGTTGACTCTATTGTTTTCTACTAAGAGTAGAACTTATAAATAAGATGTAGTGTTAAAATTCACACATCATATAATAAAAATGCACTAATATAATTACCATTATGAAATAAATAAAAAATATATCTCACCTGTAATTTTCGGAAAAATTACAGGTGCAGGATAAGGTAATCAAAGCACCAAAGGCGCTATAGGCAGTTAATTAAAAAAATCAAAGGTAAACTTGGCAGAAGTTAAGATGAATATTATGGAAGAGTGGATGAAAATATTTTTCTCTAATTCTTCGTCAATTTATCCCTTTCTGCACCCATTATATAAAAAAAATTTAATCAACGTGTGGTTCGTTTGATCTCAGTTCTTCATTGGTTAAAATCCGATTATGACGTCGAATTTACTTGCTTTCCTCTGAATTTCCTATTGTGACGGCATGAAAAAAGGCGACCATGCCTGATGACGTCACATAGAAAGAACACATCTTTTTACAGATCATTCAAAAAGACGGAATAAGTTTGCCTGCATATTGTTTGAAAATCATTAGAGAAACAGATTCCACCACCAAATCTCGTGTAATACGATATTTATCCACTCTCGACAGTTAAATTTTAAATATTTAAAACGCTCGGTGAGCCTCGCGTTTTAAATTTGAAAATTTAACTGTCTCGAGTGGATAAATATCGTATCACACTCGATGCAGTGGTAGAATCTATATATCTCAGCTATTTCTCAAGTATCAAATAATGTTTGTACCGTAATGTTTCTGCTATCCAATCCTACCACTTTCAAAAGTTATTTCCAATTTATTTTTTAAAGATTTAATGTCTGAGATTATGCACATACACTGTCCCGTGTTAGGGGAGAGTTTTGTGCCAGCTAACATGTTAAACCCGCCACATTCTGTATGTACCTGTCCATAGTGAGGACCCAGTAATTTGGTGATTGTTGATTGTTGCTGTATATCATATTTATTTTTCATAATTGATTTGTACATAAATCAGGCTGCTTTAGTTTTATTGTTTTACATTTGTCATTTCGTGGTCGTTTATATCTTACTATGCAGTATAGGTTTTGCTAATTGTTGCAGACTGCATGGAGGAATATTCTTTTCAGAATAATAATTTCAATTATGGTGTCCAACAGTGGTGTATGGTTTAATTCCACTATGTACTAGAGTTTGAATATGCCATATTAGCGCTTTTAGTTGGATCAGCTGGTGCCACTATGCACAATCATCAAATCATACCTGAAACTATCTGAAATGATGCAATTTTCTTGTATACTAGTATTACAAGAAATGCTGATGTTGTTATAATGGCCTAGCAATGATGCAACATATTTTTTTGAAGGCTGTATGGTTGCCTGTAATTACTTACATCCACTTCATTTGAATTTTGGTGGATAGTTGTCTCATTTGCAATCATACCACATCTCGTTATTTTTATAATAATTACACATGTCTAATCTATAATAAGCTATTAACACTAAGATATGTTTTGCCTATTTGTTATTTTGATAATGCAAATGTTACTTAAAATAGTAATACTTTAACATGTAAGTGATATTCAAAGTCAATGAACCATGACTGAAGGTACAGGGCTAAACAATCTCTATGGAAATGAAAGGTGCCAATGCTTGTACAACTGCAAACCAAATATCATTGACTTTTCATAAGTCGTTCCCTTTAAACAAACCTTAACACAAATTCAATTTCTAAGTCAATGAACCATAATGAGGGGGTGGAGTTATATAATATCCATGGAAATGAAACTTTTGAATACCAATACGTTCGCATACCAAATAGCTTTGACTTAAGATTACTGGTAATTTTAAACAGACATAATCATAATAATCACAAACTCATTCATGTAAACTAAGTAAAAGTTTCAAAGTCAATAGATCATGCATATGACTGAGGGGTGAGGACCAAATATCTTCTATGGAAAGAAGACGTACTAATGCTTCTACACCTACATGCCAATTATCATTGACCTACCACTATTGGTTTCCCTAATACTAACCTAATCAAAAACTAATAAATGAAATTTCAAAGTAACATAAGTTTCCAAGTAAAAAGAGCATGATTGAGGGGGCGGGGCCAAATAATCTCAATGGAAATTAGAAATGAAAAAGTTTATACAACAGCACACCAAATATCATTGACCTACCACTAGTGGTTCCCCCTAAACTGACCTAATCACAAACATATACATGTAAACTATGCAAAGTTTCAAAGTCAATAGACCATGACTAAGGGGGTTGGGCCAAATATTCTCTATGGTAATGAGATGTGCCTATGCTAACACAACTACTTACCAAATGTCATTGACCTACCAGAAACCAGACCTTATCACAAAATCACAAACTAATACATTGTTGATTCCGCCAAAACAGCATGCCTATATATATATATATATGTCTCACTTTTTACATCGCGATGACCTTGAGGTCATCCCGATGTATTGCTATCGCCTAGATTTCCATTATGTAAATTAGTTTTGGGTTTGTAACCGATCTATAAACATGATAAATACGCGCACATAAACGAGTGCAAAATAACATTCCTTATCGTTTGATATAAATACATCTCTTCAATGAATACTGATAAAAATATTTTTGTTTACAACATAAATTAATAATATGAAAATGTTTTGTAGTTAGATATATATATATAAGTAAAAAATCATTGATAATATCAATGCACACGTACCGAAAAATTGTGTTAAAGCATGCGGAAGAATATCTCAAAGAACGTTTTGTGAAAATACCGTCAAGGACCGGTAACTCTGTAATTGATTTTGCGGGAAAATATGAATGCCTACTCGTATCCAATCATAGAAAAATCGAATTTTTACAGAAAAGTGTCCACCATGCACTTGCATTGCACTATTTTTAGAATAGTAGAATAGAATGATATACAAATGGATTCAAATCATATATATATGTAACTGTTATTTTAATATAATATAAACAACAACTCAGTGTATACTGATTTGTATCACTACAATATAATAGTTATTACGGTGAAGTTGAATTTCCTGTCATTTATTCATCATCCACGCACGAACTTGTCTCAGAAAAAAATATATCTCTGTACATTAACCTCAGTTTTAGGTAAAGAGATATGTTGTTTTTTTCTGAGACAAGTGCTTTTGACCATCCTCAAGAACTTGTGGTCATCCGATGTTCAGTACTTCAGTACTTTGATTGACTCTGTCAAGGCA